AAAGCCAACCGTAAAGGAAATAATTATAGAATAGATCGGTACTATGCATTAAGACACCGTGGTATCTCAGTTAGCATAGTTGCTAGACAGTCCAGTCATGAGGCTGCCCCACGTTGGCCAAGCGACGATCATGATACCCACCCACACCCTGTGTTCCCCACCATTTACATATATCTGTACTTTACTCCTTTTGAGGTTGTTACAGTTCTTACGGTTTTGTACATGACTCACAGGAGGGTTGTGGCTGAGGCGTTCGAATGATCTGCCTCAGGCGAGAAGTCAGGAACTAAGGTTTTATCCTATGCTTATATCACCTGGCCGAGTTTTCGACCCCACGTGAGTTTTCTTTGTAAATGACGTCGCAAATGATATCAAAAATGTGATGCCTAGGGGGAAGAACCAACGGAAACCAGAATCATCAGCTATGCTTTTATTTGGTTGCCTCTCGACTCCTGATACTATCACCACCTCATAATTATCACAAAACAGGCACAGATATACAATTTGCTAAACTCAAGTCCTCACAAGATAGCACCACCAATCTATCACTTATAATAATTTGGCACCTTAAGTCCTTTAAACTCAAAAGAAGTGTTCTCCCGACGATCAATCACAGTCTTATGATGCACATCCCTCACCCGAGCCCGAACATACTCAGTCCCCGTAGGAGCAGGCTTGCTTTGATTTTTATCTTCTTCAGTCAGAAGACCAAGACGATCAAGTAAAGGCGAGGGCACAGTTCTCATCACGGTATCATCACCCGGCCTACAGAAATAGAGCAACCCAAGACGGGGGATATCAATCTGATCTTTAGGAGGTGTGACAACACGATGGATTGTCGATTTGAGGAAGCCTGTCATTTCTGTTAGTGAAATACTTCCATGATAACTAATGTGAGTACTTACCATTGGTAAGGAACGATAACGTGTCCGCAACATTGCACGTAATCCCACCGTCAACAGGTTTGACATATTTCCATTCTCCATCCGATGTTCGGATCTGCAAGCCAGCAACATGCTGTGAGAAAAGTAGAGTCAGGCTTCCAAAGTCCGTGTGACCACCCTTGGTGTATCCCTGTGCCTTGTCCCATTCCTCTTGGGTGCGCGTGTTGTAGATCATGTATCGCAAGTGGTCATCGGAACGTTTGTCATAAGCGTGGGCTTGGACTAGGTGGTCTTCTGGTAATTCCAAGATAATCGACATCAAGACGAACAGCTTGCGAATTACTTTATCGAAAAGATCACGGTGGAAGCTGGCTATCTCGTCGTAGTTCTGACGAACGATCCTGTGTTGAGGAACGTCGTCCCATGCAGGGATGGCCTTGGGGATATTAAGCTGCATAAGTTAGCTAGATTAAATGAATATCTGCGAGGCAGATAGGTATACCCATACCATTTCTATGTTATCTTTCACACCGGTTTCACCAATCCACCTTGAGTTTTCACGGTAACCGAAATATTCGCCCTCGGCAAAATTGCATTCAAAGCTTCGCTTTTCCTCAAGGGTTTCTTTGAAAAAAGCATTGCCGATACTGAATTGGCGTAGGATACGCTCGTCATCGAGTCCGTGTCCGACCACTACCCAAAACCCGACTCGGGTTACGGCATCGTATAATTGCTTTGCGAGCTCTTCCTTTCCGCCAGGTTCGTCGAAACGAGAAAGATCGATCTCAACTAGGGGTGCCCAATCCAGTTTCTCATTAGTAGGCGCAGGTCGGCTCCATGGTTTGATAGTGGCCTTTTCGATTGTGATCTGTTCTTCTATAGCGGAGGGAGCCATATGTACTTTGGGATAGACAGCGACGGTGATGAATACTAGCCAGATATTCTACGCGAGAAGAATGGACTCATATACTGGATTCAAGATAAAACCTTGATTAGGATCTAAAATCTGCTCTTGCTGTAAATACTCCGCGCCATATACTTGCTATTGCGAATATGCGGGGTCTATGGTACCATGGCCGCTTAAGATGGTGTTATATGCAACGGCATTATTGTGCCGTGAAATGGGGCTAAATCATATTCAAAAACACTCCGAGCCAATAAAATAGAAATTCAAGACTATAGATTGCAGATCTAGGTTGAATGTGGGTAAACATGCTGGGAGACCAGAGTGGCCATCGTGTATACAACGAAGTGTAAACGCCCATCGCGGGGGGTTTTAGACCAACACAACCACCTGCCTGGTTTCCCACTCCAATTATGCCTAGGTAGTATACAAAAATAATTGGCCGCTTTGGTGCATGTTTAGTAGTCGTCTTAGTATTCTTCTCGGATATTTTCCCCATTATTGGTTCTTTAACTAGGAGATAAGAATAACGAGCCCCGAAATAGTGAAATTAGGCTGTAAATACTGTAAGACATTGAAAGTGCCATCCTTAATAGGTCTGTATATTGGTAGGATAATAGAAGTAGATATTGTAATGAAGGTTCAATCAAACAAGGTTGCAGATCTTTCTGGGATAGACACATCTGGGAGGGGATATGTCGTGATCCAAACTATCATGGCACCTTGCCCTACCAACCCGTGTCGCCGAGAACGGAGGGGTCCAAGTAACACTTGAGCATAAAGGTATTTCAAGGAAAATGAATTGAATTTTGCTCAAGGATGAGGTGAAAGTATTCAAAGCAGTTCATCCTCGGGAATCGATAATATGGTGTTGGAGAAGCGCGACGAACTGGAAGTAATTACTTCCAGTATACCTTCAACTCCGCCCAATGAGATCAACCGCAAGGACACCGAAAATGAATATAACGCCAAACTCGAGAAAAGAGTGATGCGAAAGATAGATTTCTGGCTCGTTGGATTTTACTCGATTGTATACATCTTCCGCGTCATTGATTCCAGCAACTACTCAAACGCCGCCATCATCAATCTAGAAGCCGGCACTGGAATTAAGAAAGAGCTAGGTTTTAGCTCCTCACAATGGGCCTGGACACAGTCTATCTTCTCCTATAGCTACCTCTTTTTCGAACCCACCAACACAATCCTTCTCAAAAGAGTCACGCCTTCCAGATGGATGTTTGTCCTGATCTTATCCTGGGGTATCTGCGCCTGTGCTGCTGGCGCTGCACAGGACTTTCCGGGGATGATGTGTGTGCGATTCGCAATTGGACTGGCTGAAGCCGGGTTCTATCCCTCTGTGCTCTACCACATGGCATTCTGGTACAAGCCGTCTGAGTTGCGCTGGAGAATTGCTCTTTTCTACTCTCTTGGCCAGGTGTCTGGCGCATTGAGTGGGCTGTTGGCATATGCTATCAGCTTTATGGATGGAGCCGGTGGACTATCAGGCTGGCGATGGCTGTTTATCATCGAAGGTCTTCCAGCAATCGTATTGTCCGTGGTAGCGTTATTCGGTCTTCCGGACTACCCTGAGACCGCCCGCATGTTGACAGAAGAGGAGAGGACTTTCCTCAAGGGGCGTCTATCCTCTTCAGCACCCTCCGGTAAAGATAAAAGCTGGAGCTGGGGGGATGTAAAAGCGCTGCTCTCCAGTCCAACTTTCTACACATTCACGGTATACTGGATTGGACATGGTATTGGAGGATTTGGAGTGAATTACGCTTTGCCTACTGTTATCTACGAGCTTGGTTTTACAACAACCGCTTTATCACAGCTGATGAATATTGTGAGTTTGGATCAGTCCAGGAAAACATACCACGCTAACTTAGCTCACAACCAACAGCCTCCCTACGTCGCATGCTTTTTCTTCTTGAATCTTCTCGGGTATTTACTACACAAAGGATGGATTAGACCCTGGACCACAGCTGTCGCGAGTAAGCATCCATCCTCCGAAGTGCACACGGGTTCACTACTAATAACAAAAACAGTCGAGAGCACGATAATCATCTGCTACATCATCCTGATTACGGTTTCAAACTCAGTAGTCAAATACCTCGCCTTGGTTGTAGCCACCGCCTGTGCCGGATCTGCATACCCTGTCATCTGGCCAGAGCGCATTCGAGCTCTCGAGGGTACGGTGGCCGTGGGAATGGGTATTGGACTGACGAATGCCATGGCTCAGTTTAGTGGTATTGCTGGGCCCCATATATACAGTACGGTTTTTGGACCAACGTATCGAGTCTCATACGTTATCTGTCTTTGCTTCCTGTGTGCAGCTATCTCGGGCATTCTGGCTTCGTGGTGGCTTGTCTGGCGGAAGGATAAAAAGAATGAATTAGACACTGGACTTGAAGATGCATGATCACTCGGCATTTATTCGAGATTGTGTGGCCTAAGAGATATATATTGAAGCGGGGAACGCTTTACGCGGTATGCCAGAGAGCATAGGCCGAAGCACTCGTAATTCACTATTATAATAAACCTTATTTAAAAAAGAGGGTGATTTCCCAGTTTCCCACTATAATAGTTATGCGCGGTCTATACATGATACAATATCAAGATTCCAAAAGACCGACTCAAGTGGGAATCAGCCTAGCTTAACTCATGGCTACAAAAATAGATCCATAGACCCGTATATCGAGCACTGAGTGCCGATACGAATTCTCATAAAGATAACGACTTCGGGAATACAAGAAACTGGAAAACCAGATAGGCAAGTCGGAGAAAATCAGCTGGTTTATCGGGCCATTCACGATTGTACCTCAAAGCCACGGTCAGGGGAACATCTGAGCCGCGATTGTGCAATTGGTCCCGCTATGCAGGAACAATCTACCGAACATGTTTATTCCCGTCCAAATTGGCGGTCGGACCGAAGTACTAAGAGAGCGTAGGAATGATCATTTTATCGGATGATCTTCGGAAGAGGACCAACCAAGCAATATGCTTTCCGAATCCAAACATTAGATCGAATACCCACCAGTTAGTATCCGCCAAATGAGTAAGTGGATCCATAGATCCATGAACTGTTCTTCACTTTCCTAACAAGGCTTAGTCTCCGCAAAGGTTGAAGTCCACTAGGATTTATACGCTTTTTAGACCTTAATGCTTCACCTTATACTCCGTAAGGTTTCCGCTCCAGTTATCTCGTCGGATTAATCATGCTATATGAGTGGAATGGCCGAATGCTGTATGTACAAAGCTCCTCAGGTGCTGTTTTAAGATTACTTGAGCTAACAACTTTCAAAGCTCCGCTGCTGCTGGAGGAGGTATTAACTGGGTTGACATGGTAAGCATATACAGGTTATGAGATTCTCTTGAGATGTATTGGCTTACATTCGAATAGGGCACTGGAACACATTACGGGTTTGCGACTTTTTCCAGTAACCTCGGTCATGTCGGTATCGATACCGAAGGAACATGGGCCATTGGTAGGCCCAAGGCTGTCATCGACTGGGGCTACCGCGCATGGAATGGAACAACTGTTCTGGGCAAGCTCTTGATCAAGAACTGGTACGGCTCTGCAGTCAAGTACAGTTATTTCTATGGTTGTTCGACCGGTGGTTGACAAAGTATGAAGAACATGCAAGAATACCCCGATGACTATGATGGTGTGTTTGCCAGTGCCTCAGCGTGGTGGACTGATCACCAGCAGCTCTACAATTTGACGCAGACCACCTACCAGGCACCTGCCGGATCTTCCCATTCTATACCCGAAAAGATGTTTGATATCCTTGCTGCCGAGGTTATCAAGCAGTGTGATGTCCAAAACGGCGTGCAGGACAGCATCATCTCCAATTCGCAGGGCTGTGTCTTCAATGCCAATACCCTGGCTTGTAACGCGACTAGTTCTTCAGAAGAGTGCCTAACCTCTGAGCAGTTCACCACTCCCTCCAAGATATACAATGACTGGGTTGACACTAACCAGACCTTTGTATACGGCCACATGTGGCTCGGAAGTGAGGCTTCGTGGTTGATGGGTAACATCGGACTAGGGAAGAACAGCACTATTTCACAACAGCTGTGGTACCCCCGTGATCTGATGGGTCTCGGTGATGACTTCAACTGGCAGGATCTGGACTACAGCACGGTTCAGCTTGCCGAGAAACTGAACCCTGGAAATGGCACTGCCGACAAGTTTGATATCAGTGCTTTCCACAACCGTGGTGGTAAATTTCTTCACTACCACGGTCTGTCGGATGCATACGTTTCCCCAGATGCTAGTATCTACTATTACGACCAGGCTACCAGCGCGGTCAAGTCGCAAGGAATCGAGATGGATGACTTCTACCGCATGTTCCTGATTTCCGGCATGGAGTAAGTTCATTTCCAAGTGGCATCCCCAACTCTTCAAATATATCGCTGACTAGTTTCAAAAAGACACTGCTACAGGACTCCTGATACCATGAACGCTCCTTGGTACATCGCCGGACCTGACCAAGCCTCCACCATCAATACTGGCACATACAGCACCCCTGGATACAGAGATTCTCAGCACGATATTGTCTTGGCTATGATGGCATGGGTTGAAAATGGGACTGCCCCAAGCAACATTATCGCCACAAAGTTCAAGAACGATACCACTGCCATCGAAGTCTTGCGCCAGCGTCCTATCTGCCACTATCCTCACCAGGCTAAGTACAACGGCAAGGGTGACACCGATGATGCCTCTAGCTGGGTCTGCAAGCCTATATACTAGAACATCGGTAGTTGGTTTGGTTACAGAAGTTTATATCTTGGAATCTGTTCTGTTCCGGCCTTATCGAAACGTCAGGGCACTAAAATATAGGTAAAAGATAGTTATTTATTTAGATAATTTAGAATTTAACTACTTTATAAACGCTAGGACTATAACTTTACACAAATTTGAGCTCCCCCCTTTACGAGCCGGGGTCCGGGTCGAGCTACGAGAAGTTCGACCCCTAGTTAGTGTAGTGGGGGGACAGCGTGCATGCGGCCGTGGACGAGTTAGGCCAACTGCAGTTTCTGCTTGCGATGCGGAGTAGCCTCAACTTAAGAAAAACAAGAATCTAGGGATCGGCACGAACGGAAAATTTTCCATATTGGTATTCGTAGATTTTTTTAAAAGTTTTATTCGTATTCGTAACTAGTCGTGAGTGTTGAGTATAGCGATGGTCAAAGCTTATGGCCGGACTAGCGATGGACGTTTAAATAGATATCGCGACTGGTATAGTTGCAAGGTTACAGTGGGGGATTATTAAGCTCGGGGTCGGCCCCACACTCCCTCCACACTCCCTCCATGCTACATGATTTTCACAGATGGGAGCGGCTTCGCGGGACATATTGGCGCATCAACTGCCAGTCTTATACACGGGATAACATCCCAAAGACGATATCTTGAGACAGAATCCCAGTCCACAGTATCCGCTGCCGAGCTCAGCGGCATTGAGATGGCACTTGCCAAAACCAGAACCGACGACGAGGGACAGCTTCGAGAGGTGATCATTTTCTCTGACAGCCAGGCTGCCATCCAAGCAGTCCAAAACCCACAGCGACCGTCCGGCCAATACGTGCTCGCTTGCATTTATGACCACGTACGGGCCATCCGGTCGCGCAATCAAGATCAGGACCAACCACACCCAACGAACATCACTATCAGGTGGATCTCTGCACACGATGGTGTATACGGCAATGAATATGCTAATGGAGAGAAGACCCTCCGGTTGTACGAAGGGCTGTCAAAGCCATAGTATGCGATCTTGATCCAGATGCGTACAATGCGGATTGGACTTCGACACTTCTTATTCAAGATCAAGGCAGCTAAGACCGACCGGTGCAATTGTGATGAGGGCTCACAAACACCAAGGCACATTCTGATATAGTGTCTACGGTATATTATTCCGCGTACGAAACTGTGGGAGCAGGTAGAGAGAATTGGGATTAGATTCATAGAGATAGACTATGACAAGATCATATCTAACCCGTAGGCCATCCGCTACGTGGTCAACTTCATACACCAAATAGGTCTCCTCTAGTAGTTTCAACACGTTAGGATCGAGGAAGACGACGACGACGACGAACCGACAGGCCTCGCGGCAATGGATCTAGGTATAGAAGACGATAGGTATTAGCCAATCAGATGATGCTATAAAACGAGAACTCAGCCAGAGTCGACAAGCATGCCAGTTGAATAGCTAGAATAACATCACCATCAATTGAAACTGAGGCAGGGGAGGGTATAGAGAGAGAGAGAGAGAGAGAGAGAGAGAGAGAGAGAGAGAGAGAGAGAGAGAGAGAGAGAGAGAGAGAAAGAGAGAGTGAAGTAGGGGTTGGGAGGTAGAGGGTGCACTCCACAACTATCATTATACGTTAATTTCTTATGTATAGGTTAGGATGGGTTTGGATTCATAGGGTTACGGGTTATAGGAATGGGCTGATTCCGCACTCTTTACGATCAGCATCTGTATACTCTATGGGATGTACTATGTGGTCCCAACTCGGCGTTTGGCTTCGAGTTCTTGCTTCAGTTGGATGAAGCGCCTGCATAGTCATACGCAACTAGTTAGACTGCAACAGGTTAATTGAACTTTGATTGATTGATTGATTGACTCCCTCCACACTCCCTCCACACTATTTTGGACCAATGAATAGCCGGCCAACCGATAGTTCGGCGGTGGGGCTTGTAAATTTGGTGCCATCCTAGGACAGAACACATAGGAATGAACGTAAACCAGAGGAATAATCTCCGATGGATGTGCCAAGTACTGCACATTACACTCAGCCGAAAAAATGTAAAACCGAACAATCTATTGCATATAAAGGCAATCACACCCGTAGCTTGTCTTAAAGCATATTTTCTGCAGTGATCTTTATTCCTTCCACGAGTTTCATTATATTACCCAATATGCCCCGCCAAGAGGTTCACTTTCCCACCTACGATGGGCTGCAGCTAGCCGGAACACTTTACAATGCTGGAGAGAAACGCCCATGTATCATCATGTCCAATGGAGTGAGTCCAAATGCATCCGTTTTGTTCGTTCTACTGATAAATTAACATACGGAAAGTTCTCTGGACTACGGTCACAGTTCCTTCCTAACTTTGCGGAGCGTTTTCAAGCTGCGGGTTATACCGTCCTTCTTTACGACAACCGTACTTGGGGGGAAAGCGAAGGCATGCCTCGTAATGAGGTCGACCCTGTTCTCCAAACCCGAGACTACTACGACGCTTTCAATTACGCCATTGCCCTCCCGAGCGTGGATCCCAAAGAGGTTGTCTACTGGGGAAGCAGCATGTCTGGTGGGAATGCTCTTGTTGCCACTGCCGTTAACAAATGTGTAAAGGGTGTTATCTGCCAGGTGCCATTTGTTTCTACGGAGCCCATGATTCCGGTATCCGCTGCGCTTTGCGAAATTTTGCTCCAGGATCGCGCCAACATTATTCAGGGGAAGGAACCTTTGATGGGACCTGTCATACCTGCCTCGCGAGAGGATGTCCTTAGCGGTGTGACCCAAGCCATACTGAAGGATGTCAATGCGGTCGAGTTCGTAGAAGAGCTAGATCGACAGAACATACTATGGGAGAGAATGGTTTCGCTTCAAAGTCTCCTCCATGGTGTTACTCAGGAACCCGGCGCTGTTATCAAGCGCGTCGCTCCTCGGCCGCTGCTCATGATCGTGGCTGATCAGGACGTGACCTGCCCAGTGCAATTCCAGCTGTCTGTCTTTAATGAAGCGCTCCCCCCAAAGAAACTGCATATTATCAGGGGTGCCTCTCATTTTGACCCTTATTATGGCCAGGCGTTTGAAGAGAATATCGAGGCACAGTTAGAGTACTTGAGAGGTCTCTTCGAGTAAAGGATGATTGGCAAGCTTAGTTCGAATGTCCACATAATGGAAGCACCTTGCGAAGTTAAACAATTGAATTTAGAAGACGAACTTATTGTATATGATACACCGATGTGAATTTTCTATTGCCCAGCCACTAGTGATATGCCTCGAATCGATTACTCCGCCTTATCCTGAATCCACGGCTCGTCACTACTCATAAACACCCGTCTGATTTGGCGGTATGTTTTGCATGTTGTCTGCCAATAGTTCCGATTAAAGTTCCAACTATGTGGAGGTGGCTAAACCCCAGCTAAACCTCAAGGTACTTTACTCGGACGAAGTCGGGTGTGAGTAGTACTGTGGAGGTGAATTTGTGCTAGTTCCCCCACAACTCTCCCCCACGATAATCAAGTCATGACCCCACGGTCTATCGGATACCGGATGCTGAGAGTTTGCCTCAGTCTAGTCTAATCCGTCACACACAGAACCCTGGCAGTTAATTCCCTCTACTTGGATAAGGACATAATGTCCCACATATCACCCTATTGCGAGCTTATATATAATGCTTCCCGTAACCACTCGCTTGTCAAGCTAATGCATTGCTTACTTATCTTTCTGCCACAGTCAGCTAAATTCAGGTGTCTGCAACGAAATGTCTTCGCTACTTCCTTGCGAAGGGCTAACATTGGAAGCTCTTACTTCGCCTTTCTACTATACCATCTTTCTTCCAGCCACTTTTTACCGGGCCGCTTCTCTTCAGCCTTCTCAAGTACCCTTCCATCATTCAAAAATGGTGTGGAATACCCTTCTTGGGTGATGACTCCAGCGTTGGAATAGTCGGCACCCTCTTTGCCATTGGCTTATTGAAATGTTCGAATGATTGGTTTTTTCAAAGATGGCACTGAACAGTTTCGCAAAGGATTCGACCTGGAACTGGAAGAAGGAAGTCGTCATAGTCACTGGGGGTTCCAGCGGCATTGGCGCTAAGGTTGCGTCGAAGCTCGGCGAGAGCGGCTCAACGGTCATTGTTCTTGACATTAACCTCCCTTAAAGAATCTAGGTATTTATATCCACTTTCCCTATGGCTGAATATAGAGACAACACGCAAACTGACGAATACCAAATTTCCTTCCTTAGGGCAAAATATCCATTACTATGAGTTGGATATCACATCTCCTAGCGATGTGCAAAGAGTCGCCGATCAAATTCGGCAGGACCATGGAAACCCAACCGTCCCGGGATCGGATCAGTCAGGCCACCCGTAAGATGTTTGAGGTCCATATCATGGTTCACTTCATCTTGGTGAAGCAATTCTTATCGGCAATGATCAAATCAAACCATGGACATATCGTGACGGTAGCGAGCATGGCATCATTCATGACACAAGCACAAAATGTCGACTACGCTTGCACGAAAGCCGCAGTACTAGCCTTTCATGAAGGACTGGGGCAGAAGCTTAAATATCGATACAAGACCCCCAAAGCTCGAACAACGTGAGTTAACCCTCTGGAACTGATCCAGGATTAACTAAATGTATGATGTTTATTCGGCTGCTGATGCCCCTTAGTGTTGTTCACCAAACCTAGATCCGTACCCCTCTCATCGACAAGCTCACCAGATCTTCGAATTTCAATGACTTTTGCCTCGGGCCGGAAACAGTTGCCGATGTAATAGTCAAACACCTTTACTCTGGTTATGGCGGCCAACTTATCCTTCCTGAGAGGCTAAGCATTATGTCCGGAGCGAGAGGTTTCCCTTCCTGGCTTCAGGAATTCCTCCGGGGGACCATGTCTAGAACACTGGAGGCAATTAAGCACTGATAGGGCGCTTGAGGTAAATGTGCATTATTCTTTGAGTGCGAGCCTTTGGGGTGATCAGGAGAATTGTCAGTGAGCCAGTTGACCTTGTTGATTTCGTGTCCTAGAGTGCCTTAATATTTTAGCGCCAACAAGTTCTTCGTATTATAACATGAACTGTTGCGGGTCCATGGTATTAGTTCTTGTAGTTATACAAGCAAGATGATCAGTTAAGATGAAGGTGTAACACCTGTGACTTCTAGAATTCGGCTCAGGCCCAATATCCACTTCGTTGATATAGCCCATGCTGACCCGTAGAGCAAAGATATTATGCCATAATTCTCTTTCACAAAAAATCCTCAACTTTGCACAAACTTTTAGAAACGGAATTGACAGGAAGCACGGTTACCGATTTATGTTGACCGGCTCAGTTTACCCACCCACTCCCCATCACCCGTAACTAGCACCCACACTTTAACTACTGCTTCCCGAACCCGATTGGCGGGTGGGTACTTGAAGCCTGACCCAAAAAGATTCGAAGATCCTGGGACGCGCTTCAAGCAATCAAGAAGCTTTTCGTAGATAACCCTGTCTTCACTGGGCAGACAATCGTCGTTGAGATGACCATCAATCTCATCCAGCCAGGCGAGCATTGCCAAAGCAAGGCCAGAAGTACAAAAATAGGCGATCCGTTCGACATATAAAGGGCTCCTCGCTCCAACCTGTAGACAATGGCAAATGGCAGTTAGCAAACCGTATTCACCGAACTCTCGTAATAGTCTTCTCCGAGCAAGTACGTCTGGCTTACCTCCAAGAACCCACAAAACGAAATGCTGGACAAGATATTAAGAGCGAGTTGGGCTGCCACACGACGGTATGATGGACGGAGAGGATGGGCACCGGGACAGCTCCACTCCTGGGACTCGATGTAGACGGAGAGCATAACGCTATTAAACTTATAATCCGGGCGGTGGGAGTGCCAGAGATCGTACGGATCCCGCCAGAACAGGGCCTTCCAATGTTCCAAGGCGCGTGATAGATCAGCACGTAGCCGAAAGCGAGACATATCTCGCTCTAAGTAGGCATCCATCGTAGTAAAATTGCATGCTATGGTAGTTCCATTTTGGAAAGCGTCCCACAAGCTACAGAGTAGGATATGGCTGCTATATTTGGCTGCCTCATCGACAACCGGCTGGCACATTAGGTCTACTGACATGAGCTGATAGAATGTTTTGCGAAACGGCGGGGATCCCATTGACTGATACAGGCAGCAGTCTTTCCGTTCTCTCCACAGTTGCTGATTTGGAGCTTCAAAGAGAATATCAGGACAGGGCAGGTCCATGGTTGTAATGGTCTCGGGGGCTGACACAGGATGATGTAGAAAATGTCTGCTTTTGATCACCAGACAGTAAAAACACCACAACGCGCGCTTAGACTCTTCCAGGAGAACCCATTCCAGCCAGTTGCGTGGGGGCAACTTATAGGTAATTGCATTGGTGAGTGTAGGTACCATCGTAATAGCTTCGTTTGCAAGCGTCTTCAACCCCCATTCTCGAAGCTCACTGTCATGAGACCATACGCTATATTCGATTAACAAAATGCGAGTTTCGAAAATCATAATGCGTCTTCTGTGAAGGCTGTCATCCAATCTTTCTGTATATGGCGCGTCTCGGATGGATGCGGTGGATTCCTCCAGGTGGTCAACTGCCATCTGAAAGCAAAGCCTCGAGAGCTCGGCGTATGGAGCAATCCAGCGACCGCCAACCGCCGCCATTGCGAACACCTTGCCGGATTTCACCCAATCAACCCTCCAAGAAGAGCAATGCAGAAACGGAAATCCTTCAGCATGAATTCGTACGAAATGTTGCAGACAGAATTGGAATGCGGCCCAGTCACTCTCCCTGAGATGAGTTGCAAGGAATAAGGGCGATACACACGAGCCGCAAAGCATATCCAATGCGGTACATTTGGGGCAATCCCTCAGAATCGCGCTCTCGTGGCGAATACCCGTAGTGGCAGCGGCACTTGTGGAACTGGAAAGAGGTTCTGTCTCCGAGTTGCTTGCGGTGGATACATGGTCGTGGCAAGTGCTGGGCGTGCCGAGACCGAGACCTTGCTTTGGGATCCTAGCACAAGGGAATGCGCCTCGACGCGGTTTTCTCCTCTTTTTTAATCCATCGGACTGATGCACTTTTTCATGGCGTTTCGCTGCATCGCGGCGATGAAACTGCATGCCACATTCAGGGGCGGCACATGAGTAGCGTGGCTCAGAATGGCTCAATTGGTGGCGACGCAGATGGTCGTCGCGCCGAAATCGAGCCGAGCAAGTACTGCACTTGAAACTCATCTGTCAATGGTTTTATTGCAGGTCATGCAAACAATTATATAGAAAGACGGTGATATAGCACATGCTTAAGGACCATATGATGTCGCCAGGTCATGTCATTGGATACTAAGGTAAATATATCTTTGGAACTCGGTAAATGCGGAGCTAGCCGGGAATCCGTTGGTTCTGCCACCTTCCGCTTTTGCAAGGGCTAGTTAGTCAACTGTCGAACAGAGAGGAACTAGTAGACAAAAGATAATGTTATTTACACTATATAAGTTTTATATCACCACTTTTTAGGATGAATTAGTAGCTTCATCTTTATACTTAAGAGTATGGAGCTACTAAAGCTCTCTAAAAGTGGTGATATATGGAAATCAGAATAGTCAGCAGCTGATGAGGAAAAACAGTACTTTCTGCAGACGACTTTCCTACATACATATATGTATATAGTTATATTATTATGCATCTAAAAATAATCAAACCAGGGTATTTATATTCTGGAACAACAATCTAAAATTAAGCCTTGGTGGCCAACAAAGATTGAACGTAGCAACTTTTGTGAGTACACAAACCTGAATATCATATCCCCAGACAGCCAAAGCAAACAACTTCAGATCCGTGACTAGTCTCAACGATGTGACGTGCTGTCAAGCATACAAGCTGTCTCCATGCGGCTCTCCTTTTACCACGTCTCTCCTACTCCTCATAAACCTTTCCATTTCAAGTATCTCACAATATTGATCGCTCATCCCACGGCAAGTTGAATCTTTAAAGACCTGCTAATCTCGCTTTCTTGACCCTCCACTCTGACAACCATGCCGCACACGGGTCCCATGGACTTCCAGGCCCTCATCCTGTGTGGCCCTGGAGGTTCACTCAACACATTCACCTCCAGGCCCGAGGAATATCCAAAGTGCCTCATTCAAGTCGCAAACAGACCCATGGTATTCTATGCCATTGACTTTTGCAGACGATCAGGTATCACTGGTAAGTCCCAATCCTCTCCCTGTTTCTCAACCTGCCTTAAATCGAATCAAATTGGCTAATTGTATCCCAGATATTACGTTGATCACGCCTCCACTGTCCTTCCCTCCACTTAGGACCGCGTTGGACCAAAATCCATACCTCACGAAATTCTACTCGCCCTCGGTCTCGGTTATCGCACCAAAAGACCTCGAGATGACAATGGGAACAGCCGAGCTGCTCCGCCTCCCTGAAGTCCAGAGATGTATAACCACCAACTTCCTCCTTCTTCCTTGCGACCTCATCTGTGATATTCCGGGTCAATCAATCCTTGAGGCATGGATTGCAAATCAGTGGGTCCTCGAGGATAATAACGATTCTAATGGGGTTCATCATGCATCTCTTCCAACTGCTTCGTACTTCGATCATCAGCTAGAAGCCCGCTCCGGGGCTCTGGCTGTTTACTACCAAACAAAAAACCGAAAAGAGAGTATTCAAGAAGAAGCCGCTGATTTCATAGCTGTTGCACCACTCCAGCAGCACGAAGCACCCGTTGTCTCCAGTCCCGAGGGATCACTGATTCCACGATTCGGCCTCTCCAAACTCCTGATGTCAATGCCAATGGATACGATCAAGGAGAAAATGAAAGAAGATAAAGCTCTACTCCTTCGCCATTGCCTCGTCAAGAATTGTCCCCGCATCAGAATACTCACCACCTTCCGCGATGCCCATGTTTACGTCTTCCCCTGTTGGGTCAAAGATCTAGTCCGCCATCAAAAGAGACTAGAATCCGTCAGCGAGGATTTGGTCGGAACCTGGGCCAAGTCGGCATGGCAGAAAGGTCTCGGCGATAAGCTAGGATTGACGAAGGACTTTAACGAAGACACCACCCGCACCCAGGAGAGAGATTTTACACCCGAAAGCAGTCACACTGGCGCATTCGTCGATAAAGTTATCGACATCAGGGATATGAGCACTACCCGAACTCGTTCTAGCTCTGAGATGCAGCTAGACCAGGTTTATCAGTCTACCGAACTGCCAGAAATGCTAGCATACGTCCACCGAGGATCAACCCCATTCATCCGACGAGTCGATAACAAAGGTGTCCTTCTTTCGACCTCCCTTCTCCTGGCGAAACTGTCTTCTATCGATGAAGTAGGTCGCAAGGCAGCGTCGCCTTTTGCCCACGCCCATAAAGTGGCTTACCCCGAAGGCGTGGATTCGCCAAGCAATGTCACAAAGAAAGATTGTCTGCTTGGTGACAATGTGATTGTTGCATCGGGTGCCGTTATTAAGGAGAGTGTGATTGGTGCAAACTGCCGGATTGATGGCGCTGCCCGTATCATTCGTTGTGTTCTGATGGAGGGTGTTGTTGTTGAGACCAGGGCCGAATTGACAGGATGTGTGATTGGTCGACGAGCTCAGATTGGTCGTGAATCTGTGCTGAGAGGGTGTGAGGTCCAGGATGCTAACGTGATTTCGAAGGAGACGAATGCTAGGGATGAGAAGTTTATGGTTTCCGAGGAGTTGTGTGTGTAAAATGGATGTGCTGGAGCCTGGTTACCTCTTCTGTGTCAACTGGCGGGTTTGTTAACAAGGTGAAATTGTAGCAGAGTAAACAGAAAACAGAAAAGGCAAAAAAAAAGAACAAAAACAAAAACCTATGATCAAACATGGGTCTCCTCTAATTATGCTTTTGCCCTTTGTAAGACGAGTTGAGTAGCAAGATGAGGTATGCATGCATCACCATGCTCTACAGGCTTCAAGCCCTTCTACGAATCAAATTATACAACAAAGACAACAGTTCTAACAAGATCTCAATATATCTCTTGTGTATTTTCTAAAATTTCTCTCCGAACTGTATATAGCGATAGGAATTCCCCACAACTCTCTCTGGTAAACAGACGTACAAACAAATTTATTACCGTACGAACAAAGGCTCCAACAAGTTAAATCTAGCAATATTCAACCCAAGCGTCGAGGTTCATGTTCTTAATGACAGTCGAGAACTTGTCGGCGTTGGCCGCATTGCAGGCTGAGGCCTTCAACGTGGAGGAGAGAACAGCCCTGGCTCGGAGCTTCTGGTGACCATGACCGTATCGATGTTTTTGCTCCTTGGTGGCATCGGCACTAGTGTCGTCTTCATCGTCTTTGTCGGCCTCCTCGTCGTCACCATCACTGTCAGTGCTGCCAGTCTTGGTAGCATCGGCGTCTGTGCTGGTTGCAGCGGCCGCAACAGAGGTTGAAACAGGGGTAGCATCGACAGTTGCAGTTGCAGTTACAGTGGCAGTTTCAGCGGCAGCGGCAGCGGAACTAGAAGCAGGGGTAACGATGGCAGTGGCAGTGGAAGTAGCCTTGCTACCAGTGGTAGTATCGGCGGCCGAGACAGGGGTATCACCAGAGCCACCAGACTCAATAGTCTCCCCAGAATATTCAATATGAAAAACTGGCTTATTGACTTCCGTGAAGGCAGCATATGTCTTACACTCGTCATATTGTGCACACTGCTCATTAACTGACCACTGCATTTTATCAATAACAGAGCCGATAATATCACCCCCATTCTTCAACCCGATAGACATGCCACGGGAATGTGACTCAGATGCCAGGAAAGTCAAGAAATCAATCGAATCAGCCTCTGTCAACCCAAGGCCGTTCTCATTCCCATACGCATCAATATTATCAGGATCAACGCCATCACAGCCCTTCTGCTTCGCCATATCTAACCGCGAGCTCATGATTGCACGAACGCTGCTCGACTTGATGTTTAACCACCGCTCACCTGGCCACTCGTCGAGGTTGCTGCCGAAGTCTGCGGTGTCGAACTTGCTAATATCTGGGCGCCAGTCCTCGTATGTGCCGGCCGAGAAGTAGCAGATGACCTTGCGGCCTTTGTTATGCAGAGCGGCGATTTTCTCGGCGGTGTTGTCGAAGAGGTCGATGTCCCATATGTCAGTGTCGATGGTGGTGTCTTCGACGGCATCGACCAGTTGGATTTGCCATTTGACTCCGGCTGCAGGTTGCCAGATTGCAGCAGTGCTGGTGGTGTCGCGCTTGGACATCTTCCTCTGGTCGTGTCCAGCTCCGAGCTCAGCTCGGATGTCCATCCCGATGGCAAGGAAGAAGAGGCCAAGGACACAGGATACCATGAGATTTCTCTTGGTGGCTAGGACCTGCCAGCCCGATATTTGGGGAGAGTTCATCATTCCGGTAAAATTGGTTTAAGTTGAAAGGAGCGTAAGAAAGGAATGGGTGTGTACAAAGGAATGGATAGACAACTTGAATCCAGCAAGTGTCAGGGAAAGGAGCGACTGAATGACGGTGAACATCATGAGTAGATACCCAGTACTTATAGTCGTTTAGATGCTGGTTTAGAGGTAATTAGGTGTATACCTTGCATCAAGCTGTTTCACATTTCCACATATGGAGTCGAAGGTATAAGGCTGGAGATCGCCTAAGATGACCGAGCCGCTAGCGGAGGACGTTAAACGAAGCTAAGCAAACTATACGCCCCGTTATTTCAGAAATCGGGCCAATAAAAGTAATAGCTCAGAGTAAACAGGTGATTAAATTGAAGGGGATCAATCCGGAAGAAGATGGGAAAGGTGAAACGCCCGCCAAGAAACGCCTCGCGGTAGATGTAGTCCGTTCATTTGCGGATATCCTCCATTTGAGCGAAGTCATGCAATCTAAGTAGATTTACCTGACCTAGGATCTGATCCTTTAGTGTTAATATTTTCCAATCGGACGGTCCGGTAGCTCTCGTACCCGCTGTCTTTAATTAATTTTACACAAGTTGAGATCTATAAAGTGACATGCTAATTTAATATATCGCAACCTCAATTTCCACCTGAGATAATATCCGAATAGTATCCAAATTTTAAAAAGAAATATGCATGTCGGAGAATTGCCAACTTTTGAAATGATTTGTGCGAGTCCACTTAAGAGATCAAAATTGTACAAAATACCCGATCTCAACCGCATTAGTGTGATGCTTTAATGGAGTTGGGCCAATTATATAGAGCTGCCCCTTAGACACATGGATTCTGGGCCCTTTGGCCCCTTGGGTCCCTACAAAGGATTCAAGAAAGCGAAAGAAATTAATAAATATCTCCGGTCTGCCTTGGCACATTGCCATGGGTGCTTACGTTTGACGCAGGTTCTCATTTCACACTGGCCTCGCCGGAGATTTTGGCTTGATTAATAGCACTTGCTTTCTTTCTATATCCATCTCTGGTATTCCGCGCTCAAATAATAGAATATATAATAGGACAAATAAGTGTGAAATGTGAACAAAATTCGGTATAAAATCTTAATTTGACTATATCCATCTGTTTGCACATATTTCTCTCAAGTCAGACTAATCTAACGTGCATCCCTGTAACAAAACTATTGGCCATCATACACCTCATATCCATACTTGCTCCCAACATGATCCTCCCGCAAACGCTTTTGCCCAGGCCCATACACCCTCTCCCGCATTGTACCACTCTCACCCTGGGGCGCGTATACCCCTCTCCTCCTCAATTCCGGTACCAAAAGCTCAACAACATCCTCAAACGTGCCAGGTGTCTGTACATACCCAATATTAAACCCATCTAAATCTGCCACTCGGACCCATTCCTCCAAAAAGTCCGCAACAGTACTCGCAGAGCCAACAGGAACAGGTCCCGCCCCACCAATCGAGATATGCTTCCCGATATTCCTTGGCGTCCATTCAGGCACATCGGGACTTTGGTAGGAGAGTGTATTAATAGTAGAATGAACACGGGCGTCAACATGTACATCTGACGCCGTAATAGGAGTGTCTAGATCAATCCGGCTAAGATCGATACCGGTTCCGCCGGAGAAGAATGCAAGTCCTGCTTCCTCACTGGCGTATTTTAGGGCTTCACGGTACTTTTCCTGTGCCTCTTCATCGGTTCGACCTACGATCGGCGTGAGGATCGCGAATACTTTTACTGATTTGAGGTCTCGGCCGAGCTTGGCGGCTTCTTCGCGGATGGCTTTGATGCGTGGTGCGAGGATGTGTGGTGAAGGTGCCGAGACGAAGATTCCTTCTGCGTGTTTCGCGCCGAAGGCGATGCCTGCTGGTGAAGTGCCTGCCTGGAAGAGGAAGGGAGTGCGTTGTGGGGATGGATCCAGAATGTGAGGACCATCGAATTTGAAATGTTCGCCGTGGTGGTGGATGTAGTTTATGCGACTTGGATCGGCATACACGCCTGTTTCAGCATTCTCTTGGAGAGCATCGTCGGCCCAGCTGCCCTCCCATAGTCTATTGTAGGTAAGTACTTGACATGACTCTCAATGGTTCACTTTGCTTACTTATACAATGAGGTCAGGTACTCATCGGCAATTTCATACCGTTTGTCATGGTCTACCAGAGGCAATCCCACCTATGGATGTCAATTTTGGTAATAAATGTGGCAATGGGTATACTCACGGCCTTTGCAGCAGACTCTTTCCATGAGGTCACAATATTCCACCCGAACCGGCCACTGGTTAAATGGTCCAAAGTCGAAAACCTCTTCGCCACAATGTACGGAGCTTCATATGAAGTAGAGGTGGTGATCGCAAACCCTAAATTCTTGGTGACCGAGGCCATTGCGGAGATTGGCTGATACGTATCATCAGCAACCCAATCCGATCAATGAAACAGAGAGCTAACTTACTATTGAAGGGTCACCCATGGGATACTGAGCTCCATTCCGAATAGCAGGTTCTGCCGTCCCCTTGTATGTGTCATATAGACCATATGTGTCGGCAAGGAACAACGCATTGAAATCGCCTTTCTCGAGTAATTGGGCCAGGTTCGTCCAGTAGGATAGGTCTCGTCGCTTGGTTGCTGACCGATCGGAAGGGCTCTTCCATTGGCCGAAGGAAAGATGGCCTACCGTGAACATGTCGAAGCCATTGAGGTATATCCGCCGCTTGGGTGGTGAGCTTTCAGCTGACATTGTGCAGGGTTGCCTTTCAAGCTGAACTTGATTTTATTTTGAATATGTGGGATCAGATCAAATCTGTTTGACAATTTTTCAAGTCCAGATGTTGCTATATGAGTTGATATTATTTATCTGCCCTATTCAGAACAACCCCGCTCGACACTAAGCTGCTGTCATCTCTCCAACAAAGCACGAATACACAACCCCATCGTATCAGATATCCTAAAATTCTCGCCAAGTGAGATAAGCATTGCTCTTGGACCCCTCTAGTACGGAAGAACTCCGAATAACGTCCGAATAACGTTGTCTATAGTGGGATCGCGTCATTTACTCCTGCAAAATCATCCGACAGGTTGAATCTATTCCTACAAATATCAGGATATGAATACTTTATGTCGGCTTTGAAATACTTTTTGTGATGTTAGTTTAGTTATATATGGCGCAATCACCACATTGGTACCTGATTCATACAGACATTGCCGCCAGCCTTACAACAACTCCTTATCGTCGGGGGTATGATGCCATATAGACTCATATCTTGCAAAAGAGGCGAGATTAGATCTATAGAAAAGGTGATATTCGTTAAACTGTAGAAGTCCAGTTTCTGAATTTGACATTCTTCGTTAATTCCAAAGTATTCCACATCCTTTCGGAACAATGGCGAGCTTTATATCACGCCTAGAGAGTGCCACGCGATGGTTTCCTGTCAGTATGCCACTGGCAGAACGCAAACTCGTTCGAAAGTTGGACTGGCTTGTTCTTCCATATGCCTGTTTGTCCTTTTTTGTCAAGTATTTGGACGTTTCAGCATTGAGTATGTGTACCTCACAGGCACCCTGTGTGAACGATATACTAATAATTGAATAGCCAATGCGTATGTTTCTGGAATGAAACATGATCTCGTTCTTTCTGGGAATAGGTTAAATTACATCAATGCTGCATGTGAGAACGTTGCCACACTTGCCTTCTCCATGTGGAATGGAGGGTATCTGTCTTCTGTTATACTGACCCTAGTTGCTATACAGATGAAGTTGGATATGTTGTGTTTCAAATCCCCAGCAACATGGTCTTGATCAAATACCCGTAAGCAACTGATAAATGAGGAAAGAACGTAACCATTAAAGTATTCAAGCTAATATTCCCCACAGGGCACAATACTATCTCCCAGCTGCGGAGATCTTTTGGGGTCTTTTCACTCTCGGAACAGCCTTTGTAAAAAACTACAAGCAATTGGTAGTAATGCGATTTTTCGTCGGATTGAGCGCCACTTCATGTTATGTGGGCTTGGTCCACGTAGTAAACTCGTTCGTTTTGAATTCTGACTACCGGGAATTCAAAGCATTCTAACTTGCGGTTACAGATGGTATAGGAAAGAAGAACTAGGGCGCCGGAATGCACTTTTCTGGATTGCAAATCCCATTGGCCAGATGTTCGCAGGATACCTACAGGCTGCTGCATATACACATCTCAACAATAATCATGGGTTACAGGGTTGGAGGTAAGCTTGCCATCGCATATAATGGATTCCAATGGCCCATACTTACTATCGTGATCCAGATGGCTTTTCATTATCTGCACGGTTATTACAATCCCTATTGCTCTGCTGTAAGCATCTAGAGACCCTTGAAATTTGCCCAAATATCCAACTAACACCGATATCCAGCGGGTTCCTAATCTTCCCCGACATGCCAGAGCGCACAAAATCTCGCTTCCTCAACACAGAAGAAAAGGCTCTCGCCAACAAAAGACTCCAGGAAGAAGGATTCAAGCCATCTACCGGCCTCAACAAAACAATCATCAAACGAATCTTCACATCATGGCGATTCTACGCCTTCGTGCTCCTTCTAGTCATTTTCTGCAACATGACATACAGCGAAGCCACACCATTCATCCTCTGGCTCGACTCCCAGCCAGATAAATACCCCGTCGCGCTTGTCAACAACTTATCTACCGTCACGAATGGTGCGGCAGTAGCTGGCGCGTTGATGATGAGCTTCTACTCTGATATTCGGGGATCTCGCGCTGAGCCTATCATATTGTCTGGAATACTGTGCATTTTTGCGAATCTGGTACTTTCAATTTGGAACATCCCCGATGATCTCAAATTCTTCGCTTATATATCAGTGGGATGGTCTTACGGAACAATTCCAGTACTGATTGCATGGACTGCGGAGGGACTTGCTGGAGATTCGGAGGTTAGGGCTCTTACTCTTGCTTCCTATAATTGCCTCGGGGAGATTACTAGTCTGGTTGTGCCGTTAGTAGCTTGGCCTGTGTCGAAAGCACCTGGTTTCCGTGGGGGATTTATTTGGGTATGACCTTTCCTAAACATTGTTACGTGCTACGAACTAACCAGTAATCTTCTCCACAGGCTACGGTACTCAGTGTTTTCTATTTGCTCAATGTTGCTTGGATTATAATCAAGCAGAAAAGGAGCAATAAAAAGATAACAATGGAAGAGGAACAAGGAAGCAGAGAGGAAGACTCTGTGGTTACAGATCAACTGACTACACAAGGAGAGGTTACCAAGTTGTGAACAATCTTATGCGATAGAGTAATAAAAAGTGATGACTCAGTATTTACTACCAAGTCATGTCCCAGCTGTCTCCCAATTCGTCTTCAGTGTCATGTTCAGTATCGCTTTCAATGTAATCTTCCTCTGCATCAAGGTCCTCTGACATCACCGCAAACCATCTGTCTGCTAGCTGCATGAAGAGGCTTTTCTCCACTCCATACTCTAGTTCTTGGACTGACTCGTTGAAAGCGTGTATCCCTGCGATGAATCGAAGTGCGTCCCACAGCGCCATGCGTACCACAGCGCCATGCGATCCTCTTACGACAGGAGCAATGATATCACCACAGTCCGACTGTCCGTTGAAAAGGTCACAGACTGGACCGCATCCGATTGGCCTTCAATCGTACACAAGATGGCCCGTACCCCAAACCACGCTAGTCTTCATCGGGTTACTGTATAAACTGGAACCCCTGCTTGGCCGTATCGAGCCTTCTCATGCTCACACGGTCCTAATCTTATTGTCTTTATTTCCCTTTCCCTCCGGATAAAGATATGCTTCAAGTCAAAAAAAGATGCCCCCTATGAAATCTTCTGACAAGATATTTCCAATCACAACCTTCATCTCGGACCTGCCGGCTGACCTTATTCCGCCGTCCCCCTCATCATTTCCCGAAAATGGCCCTGTCAGTGGACGCGTAGTCATTGTAGGCGATGTACACGGGATGAGAAAGTCCCTTGAGGCACTCCTTGACAAAGTCGGCTTTGACAAAAGCAAAGGAGATCATCTTATACTGGTCGGCGACCTAGTCAATAAAGGACCCGATAGTTCTGGTGTTGTTGATCTAGCTATTAAGCTAGGCGCTAGCGCTGTGAGAGGCAACCACGAAAATGCAGTTCTTAATGCGGCGGCGGAGATAAACGCCACAAGGGATACTCTGCTGCATTCTAGAAACTTGACTAGCAGTCCGGCCGTACCCGAGCACCCCGCAGCCGATCTACCCGGAGATAATGTCCAAGATTTCGAGACTCCCGGCAAATCAGCATCTACTACAACTACTACCGGCGCTACGACATCGCATAGTACGGCATCGGTACTTTCGAAGCGCCAACTCGACTGGCTTGCCGCTTTACCTTTGATATTGCGCGTCAAGCTACCTCATGTCCCAACATCCTCCTTCGGCGACAATCTAATCGTCGTACATGCGGGCCTTGTTCCTGGTGTCTCACTTGAAGACCAGGATCCACATGCTGTAATGCATATACGGAGTGTCGTTCGTACATCAGGCGATGAGGATGGATTCATGCCGGCTGAGACTTCCGGAGAAGAAAGCTGGGTTATGGAATGGGACCGGTGGCAAGATAGCCTAGCATCCAAGACTACGGTGATATTCGGACACGATGCAAGGCGTCGCTTGCAGCTAGGTAAATATGCGATTGGGCTAGATTCAGCTTGTCTATACGGCCATCAATTAAGCGCCGACACGGGAATTGAGCATCAGGTCATTCAAGTAGAATGTGCTGATGCGTCTATAGTCCCAACCGTATCTGTAAATCAAGGGGATAAGCAATAGCTATACAGTCAATTGAATACATGATTTCATTTACCACGACTCCTCACTGAAGCAAGATGCAGGCTACGACAACTACATACCTCTATAGGTACTCGTTGGCATGCCGTCTGCACAACCACCGAGGCCTATGCTCTGCACCCTTTATTCCCTCAATTTTACTAACGTCTCATGTCTATTAAGCGCACTAATTAACTACTCTCGTGGAGCCATTTGTTGGGAGATTAGTACTTGGTTCGCAATCACGTAATTTACCAGCGAGGCATTTATTTGGGTCATATTGATACAGAGTGACGTAACAAAACCTCAAAACTATAATGAATTTTGTATAGGAGAAATGATGAAGTAAAGAGAAAAAATCGTTATTGCTATGGTGCATCAAATGAAGCACTGGTTTTAGTTCGTTAAACCGGGGGTTTACCGTACAACATATATATATAAGTTCATAGTTACCTGAAAAACAACAAGTGTCAAAAGTCGCAGTAGATAAATATACCAACTCCTAGTTATTAGTCTGTGCTTACGTATATTCGTGGATCTCTACTGATAAGTAGGTACTGAAAGATTCTTTCTTCTGGGCTCAAAGCCAATGACTCGTATTAGTGATATATAAACTTTTTTACTCGAGGATCCTAGCGTCACCTTGACAGGCAACGACCGAGTATAAACACTTGGATGAATTAAACAATGCTCGCTATTCCCGAAAACCCAAAATGCATGATTCTCAAGGCCAGAGAAGCAATTCCTTGCCTTGAGCCTTGAATCTTGAGACCATGAAGCCGGGACTGCAATTTGCCTCCCAGTCTTCCTCGGACACCAAATCCGCGTTGGACAGACGGCGAGGCACCTGCTCTTCGCCTGACAATTCGGCCTCGCTATCACTGCATGGACACGTTGAGGTCGTTCTGGCTCCTGGTGTGGTGCAAGGGCAAGGGCCCAAGGAGCGATTGCATGGGACGCATTTGTAGTATGCCCGACTGCCGGCATCATTGGAGCCTGAGCTTGTGGATAGACGCACTCCCGGGAGTCCGCATTGTTCGCATTTCCAGCCTTGTGAGGGGCGCTCGAATTGGATAGACATGATGAAAGAGGATTGACCCTGGGTCATTGACTAAAGACTTTGTATCAGTAGCTGTCAGGATATAGGGAGACACCTATATTACTCACAAGGAATTGTCTTGTAGTGGAGCGGGAGTTTGAGTGGAATAAGGTACCCGGAGGTAATGACGCAGAATTATCTTGGAATTGAATTGTACTGGCAGTTCCCAAGTCCGGGGAAACATCCCTCCTTATAAAGAATTTGCGGGGGATGACCACGGGTAGATCATTATAACGCCATTTGGAACAACTCCAACTACTCTACCAGAAAGATGTCGAATTTCTCGGCAATTACTTGGCGATCCTTGTGAAATCACGTAAAATCAGGTAAGAACGTGGCATTCTAGACTCATATTTGATCATAAAACGTAAGGAATGGCCGAATCGAGTTAGCATTTCCCCGACGCAAACCGAATTTTTATGTAATATCACGCAAATGGATCAAATGACCCCTGGAAACATTTACGTTTCCATTCCTTTCATAGGTCGATCTATTTAGAGAATTTGCAGAATTTGCAGATGAAGTCATCGCCACATCAGGCGTGAGGTATTATTATCCAATTGGCTGCCCGGGCCGGGTCTCCCCCGCATTTTCGCCATTTCGAATCCCAGGTGATCCCTCAGGTGACCCGGGAACAAACCCAACAAACAGGCACGCCTTCTCCAACCGTCACATGATTGGATGGCAACTGTATCCTCAACATTTTCCCCTTACACCGTCCTCCGTACCTCGTCTATACATAGAACGGTCAAAGCACCATGGGCGAGCTTGGCCACCTAATTGGACTTCCGACATGGTGTACCCAATTCATTGTTGCCACCTGACTCATATTCAACGAGCAATTGTTGCTGGAGATTGCGATTGACTCGAGACTCTCCTCGATCTACTTGACCTTGGTCAACCCCTAATCAAAGGCATTACCAACCCCAATTAACCTGCCTTGCACCGGAACTTACACATGTTGAACCATGCGATCTCATTATCCTCAAAACACATATCTCTGCGCGAATCTAATTTTTGAAATTGCACCACAACGCCGAGGGCTACAGCTCTCATTTTAATTGCAAGTTAATTGTAACTTCCGGCTCCATCTCCTAACCCCAATTTCATATTGGTGGAAGGTATGGTGGCGCCAGGGAGCCAGTGGCCGCCCCTTTCAGGGGGCCGCGAAAATTCTGCACGCAACATCAACGAGCGCATATTGGACGCCAATTACGACGTACGCCAGCTGCTGAATCATATCAGCAGTAACAACTCCGTCAAGGTCCCGAGGCCAGTCCTCGAATACCTCAAGTCCATCCAGGAGCTCACCACAGATCTCATTAAGAACCCCATTGGCCAGGACTGGAAGCAGCAATTTGAACAGCTGCGCCAGGAGACCAGCCAGATTAAGCAAGACATCCATGCGGTGAGGATTGCTTCGTCGAATGTCAATGCCAATGCTAATACCAGCGGATCGAACCGGATCCGGTCGTATGTCGATGCCGTCAAAAGCGCACCGCCGCCGACGCACTTCCTGTCTAGTCATGGATCGGCGTCGACCAACCCCGCATCGCCTTCCGACCTTATCCAGGACCGCCAGATTATTGTCAAACTGGGTGATTCCGATGGCATTAAACACTTCCGAGCGCAGACGCCTGCTGAAATCACGAAGCTCGCTGAGAGAGCGCGTGTAAAGGCGGCAAAGGCCACGTATAGCGTGACAGTGGCATCGGCTAAGTTTGTTGCGGCGAAGCAACTGAAATCGGGAGATGTCTCGCTCTCTCTTCGTACTGCGAAGGAAGCAGAGATCATGCGATGCCACCGGAATACGTGGGTGAAGTATCTGTGGAAGGGATCGGAGGTGCGCTTGCCGAGCTGGGGGGTTGTTGTGCACGATGTTAACATACGATCTCTCGGTATCAATACGGCGGCAGAGATCAGGGACCGGAAGCCAGGGATCGTGAAGCAACTGCTTACCGAGAACTCATTTAACTGGGGGGACGATGCAGAAATCACCCAGGTGTCCTGGCTTGTCCTCCCGGAAGGCAAGAAATCAGGGTCATTGATCGTTGAATTCACCTCACCGTACACTGCGAACAACGCAATCGACACTGGAACACTCTGGGACTCGGAAGTGCTTACTACGGTCTTGTACGACCGGGCTGCACGTATACGCCAATGTCATAACTGTCAGAAATACGGACACATAGGAAACACCTGTTCCAACGAAACCAAGTGCGTCTTTTGCGCTGAGAAGCATCATTCTCGAGACTGCCAGCGTAAGAAGGACGCAACTCTTAGTGAACGAAAGTGCGCCAACTGCGGGGGCGCACACAACGGATGGTCGAAGCGGTGCCCCGACTTCATCAGAGAGATCGAGAGGGTGCAGGTTCTTGCACAGGTAAGAGAGCGGCACCACCGGGTGCCGGCATACCTTTCGATCAGAGAGGCCAGGCAGGGGACGCCGGCGGCCAATACAGGACCCGGGAGTTCAGGAGGTAGCGGCTCCGGGACTTCTACCAAGGACAGCTCTGGGTGGAGGCGAAGGCCACCAACCCGACCCGGAGTGTCAACAATGACAACAAGCTCAGACCAACCGGCGAGCAGTAGCGAAGGGCCAATAGGCGACGAAGGGCCAGTACCACAGGAGGATACTGAGATGCAGGAGGTTCAAGAACCCCAGCCGGAGAACATACCGCCTACCTTTACAGTAGGCAGCACCGAGGTAGGTGCAATTGGAGAGTCGATCCGCCAGTCGGCACAGAGACCGGCAAGGGGAATCGATCAATCAGACCACGCACCAGCAGAGACACGCTCGGAACCACCAAGACGCAGGGCACCCAGCCGGCCGTCGACATTATCGTCAACGACAACCAGAAGCAAAGGCCTAATCAGATCTATGCTCGACACAAGTGTAGCACAGAAACGAGCAAGGGACGAAGCGTACGTTCTCGAAGACCAAGAAGCAGTGCTGCCAGGTACGCCATCGTCGTCGGCACCGGCTGCATCGACCAGCGAGTACCAGCCATCGGCACTATCCCGTACCAGCGGGAATATACGACGGGCGAGAAAGCATAGTGCTGCCAGCAAGCATATTGCTACCGGTAAGGAGAACGCCATCTTCAAAACCAGTGCCAGCAATACAACGCATACACCTGGCCCTCGGGGCAAGAATAAGCGCACCCTCGACGACCAAGTCAACCTCACAATGTCAGCCCCATCAGTGAAATTCACCAACAGAGCAGGCATTCAGGAGGAAAGAAGAACCCGCCAATTCACCAAGAAGCACACCGAGCCGACTTCCAATGAATAATACACCATTCACCATCATCCAATACAACACGCACCGATCGAGAGATGTCGTTATGGCGGACTTCCTGGCGAAGCCAGAGGTCATGAAGGCAGACATCATTGCAGTGCAAGAACCATGGGAAAACCCGTACAATGATACGACGTACCACCCCTTGAAACAGACACACGAGCTTCTCTTCCCGTCCAGTTTGGAAACGGGGAGCAGGGCAAGGGTGTGTATATATATTTCAAAGAGAATCGGCGCCAACTGGACCCACTACGCGCACAGCGAGTTCTGCCAGGAAGTGAGACTACAAACCAAGCTCGGCGAGGTCAGCTTCTTCAACACATATAATGAGTGTGGGACTACCGGCACGGTAGAACACCTTAGTAAGTGGTTAGGCAGCACCAGGCGACGTACTATGATTGCTGGCGACTTCAATCTCCACCACCCCGCCTGGGGAGGCATTGAAGCGACGCAGGATATAGGCTCTGACAGGCTTATCGAGCTCTGTGACGAAGCAGATCTTGACCTGTGGCTGGAACCTGGGACTATCACAAGGGACCAGAACGGGGAGCGTACGACAATCGACCTGTTCTTCGGTACGCCAGATCTCACTGACAGATTGGT